CAAAATTGCACAGCATATTCAAGATGTGGTCTTACCAGTGATTTATAAAGAAGCAAAATTATATTCTCATCCCCAAAAATACTGCCCTTTTTCATGCATGACAATACCTTACTAACCTTAGACACTTCTAATTAATATTGCACATTGTTGCATAGTTTGTTGTCTATAACAATGCCCAAATCCTTCTTGTGTGTTGTTATCTTTAATTCGCCTCCATTAAGGGTTTAAGTTGCTTCTGCATTCTTTATGTGGAAGTGCATAACTTTGCATTTTTCTATCTATGCCATTTGAGTGCCCAGTCCCCCAGTCTATCTAAATATCTTGCTCACATTGTATTACTTTGCAGAGTTTTGTGTAATCTGCAAATACTGAAACATGACTTTCAATGCTTTTCTCAAGATCATTTATAAACATGTTAAATAGAAGGGGTCCCAGAACAGAACCCCGAGGAACACCACTTGCCACCTTTGTCCAGCTACCATTAATGACAACTTTCTGTACTCTATTTTTAAGCCAATGTTCTACCCAAGAACAAGAATTTTCATCTCTACCAATTATTTTGAGTTTGAACAGTGATTTGTTGTGTGGAACTGTATAAAATGCCTTGGCATAATCCAAATAGATCACTTCCACTGCAACACCCTGATCTATACTTCTATTTTACATCTTTGTAGAATGCAAGCAAGTTAGTTTGACATGATCTATGCTAATAACCAAATTCTTCTCAAGGAATTCTTGAATATTATCCCTTAATAACCTTTCAAATACTTTCCCAGCGACAGATGTTAAGCTCACAGGTATATATTTTCCAGGAAAAGAATTTCCCTTTTAGAAAATAGGAACCACATCTGTCTTCCTCCATTCCTTCTGTACACTTCCTGAAAGAAAAGAATCTTGAAAGATTAAAAACAGAGGTTCACTTATGTCCACACTTAGTTCCTTAAGTATGCCTGGATGAATACCGACATATCCTGGAGCTTTGTTTATAGTAACTGCCGCACCTTGTCTTGAATAATCCAACTACAATTTTAATGCAAGTTTTTTAAAGCAATCTAGTATATCTATTGCCATAGGGTCTTCCTTAATATATATGGAGGAGAAATAGTTATTTAAAATTTCTGCCTTTTCCAGGTCTTCATTAACTAACATCCCCATCCCTGTTTTTAGCGAACCAAAACTTTCATTTTTTTTAAATGTTTATACTTAAAAAATGCTTTGGGGTTGGTTTTGCTCTCCCCGACTATCACTTTTTCATTTTGAAGCTTAGCAAATCTAATTGCCATATTGCATGTGTTATTGGCTTCCTTATATCTTTTATAGGATGCCTTTGATTTGTCTGATTTAAAGGCTTTGAATGCCCTTGTCTCATTTTTCATTTTATGATTCACTTCCCCACTAAGCCACATTGGTTTCAATTTGTTTATTTTAATGGTACATACTGAAAAATTAACCTTTTTAATATTTGTTTGAAGATATTCCATTTAGCCTTAGTTTTCTTTTCATTAAAGAGTTTATGCCAGTCAATTATTGTAAAACTGGCCTTCACGTATTGAAATTGACCTTTTTAAAATTATATGTTTTAGCATACCCCATGTGCTTTGTTTTTTTGGAGGTTTATTTAACCCCTTAAAACCGGAGGGCGTACTATTACGCCCTATTCTAAGTGGCTCTAAACACCGCAGGGTGTAATAGTACGCCCTCCGGTTTTTCTTACTTACCCAGTCGCTGGCGATCCCATGCCAGCGATCGCAGTTGGGAAGACTCACCTTGGATCCCAGGGAGTCCCCTGCGGCAGATCCTGTCTCCTCCGGCCTCACAATCACATGGCCGGGTTAGCTGGCTGCTGCATTGCCATCAGGGGACTGCCTGTAATGACAGTTAGTCCCCCTGCTGGCTGAATTCAAATAAAATAAAGTTAATCAGTGTAAAAAAAAATATATACTTAGATTATATATATATATATATATATATATATATATATATATATATATATATATATATATATATATATATATATATATATATATATATATATATTCTAAGTATCTATACACATATACATACACACACATACACTGTCTAGGTGTATTTTACTATTAATATATATATATTAATATCAAATTACACGTAGACTGATACTGATTATTTATATATATATATATATATATATATATATATATATATATATATATATATATATATATATATATAATTATTGTTATATATATATATATATTTATATAATATAAAAATAAATATGTAAATACTTAAAAAAATTAAATAAATTTAATTACAAACCCCGTACCAAATCCCAGAGGTGGTTCAGGCAAATATAAGGCAGGAGATGCTCCGACTAGAGCTAATAGAAACGTCCAAGAGTTCGTGTGCTTCCCCGGTAGTGCTGGTTCCGAAGCGAGACGGATCCACCCAGTTCTGTGTAGACTACTGGAAGCTCAACAACAAGACGGTCTCAGATGCCTACCCCATGCCTCGTATAGACGAGCTATTAGATAAGATGGCTTAGTGCCAGTACCTCACCACTATCGATTTGTGCAGATCCCCCTAGCAGCAGATGCTGTTCCCAAGTCAGCCTTCATCACCCCATTTGGCATGTACCAAATTAAGGTCATGCCCTTTGGGATGAAGAATGCCCTGGCCACTTTCTAGCGGATGGTGGACCAGCTGTATATATTATATATATATATGATCTAAGTATCTATACACATATACATACACACACATACACTGTCTAGGTGTATTTTACTATTAATATATATATTAATATCAAATTACACGTAGACTGATACTGATTAAGTATATATATATATATATATATATATATATATATATATAATGTTATAGATATATATTTATATAATATAAAAATATGTAAATACTTTAAAAAATTAAATAAATTTATTTTTTAGAAATAAATAATTAAAAAAATATATAGATGTATGTTATTTCATTCTAACTGTATTGTGATATTAATATATGTATATTTATATCAAAATACACGTAGAACAAAATAATATATATCTATATACATAAATATATACATATATATCACTATATATATACCTATACAAAATAAAAATATTTTTAAAAAAAGGACGTGACCTGTGTTTGTGACCAAATGGCTACTAAAAGACTGGACATACCCCATTTGCAATACCTTGGGTTGTCTACTATTGCAAGTAGTATGCCATTATGGGTGTAAATTTCATTCCTGGGCTACTATACAGTCTCAAATGCAACGTAACCTATCTGGCAAATTTCAATTTCAAATGTAACATGCTATATTTGACCCTGTAACTTCCCAAAACACCATAAAACCTGTACATAGGGGGATTGTTTTACATGTGAGACTTTGCTGAATACAAATATGTGTATTTTATTGCAGTAAAAGCAAACAGTATTATGACTAAACAAATAACACCATTTCTTATTTTCTCCCATTTTTTTCATATTAAATTATGTTTCATAGCTAAATATTTGATATTAAATGAAAGCCCTGTTTCCCCTGAATAAAATGATATATAATAAGGGTGGGTGCATTTAATATGAAAGAGGTGAATTACGATTGAACAGACATGTAGCACAAATGCCAGGGTTTTTTACGTTTTGTTTTGTTCACAACTTGTACATTTGGCTCAGTCCTTAAGGGGTAAAAACGCACTATATATTATCATAACTATTTCCCAAGTGCTCATCTACTTAAATGCTGGTTGGGTAAAGGGTGGAGGGTGGACAGTGATATGCCCACCCTTATTATTTAAACGTTGCTTATTGTTTAAAAGGTGCTATGAGAAGTTGTACAAAATGAACAAAAGATGGCACATTATATACTATTACTGTACAAAGATACATATAAGTTACCTAGGTTCTCTGTAGTCAGACATATATAGAATATTGTGGCGGAACCACAGCTTGTTCGGTTGCTTTACACTTATACTGTGTGTTTTTCCCCTTGCCCTTTTTCTGTTGTACCTACTCCCCATTCAGGAGCGCTCCTACGAAAGGAACTCCTTTGACTCCCGAGCGGGGACCACCCCGATATCCCATTTAGAACATTAGTAGAACATTCAAGTAGAATGTTCTCACCTCTGGTGTAGTTGCGAAACCGCAAGGGAAGCAATTAATGAGTACCCTCTGGGTGGCCACCATTTCATATGATGGAATATCAGCCAGGGGGAGCAATTGTGGGTTGCTTCCTGACTCGTTTGTCTCCCTTATGAGGACCACCCCAGTGCCCCATTGGAACGCTCCCACCAATTAATTAGAATGTTCGCAATGGCAACATAAGTGTGAAACCACAACGTTTCGCACTGGCAACATAAGTGTGAAACTGCAAGGGAAGTAATTAATGAGTGTTCCCCTGGTTGGCCGCCATTTCATATAGACAAACGCTAATCAGGGGGAGCATTCGTACCCCGAAAGGAGATGCTTCCCTTGCAGGTTTCAGCACAGGAATCTGGCAAATAGAGATTGCCCGGAGAATGTGCCAGTGTGATGTCACCAGGGATTGGTGGGGACACTTTTGGGGTACTGGTTAGTTTGGTGGGCCTGGGAGACAAAGGGACAGTCTCTTTTCCTGCGCTTTGGCTCCCAGGCATAGAGGTTCATGGGATGAAGACCCCCCTGTTGTCCGGGGTGGGAAACCCTTCACCTTAGTGGTGGGCTTTCCATATTTGGGAAACAAAGGGACTGTGACCCTCCCCCCCCATTCCCACGCTTGGGCTCCCTGGTGTAGAGGATCCTGGGATACAACCTCTGTTTGTGTGAGTGGAAGACCCAATGGGGCTAAATTTAAAAGCCGTGTGACTTGTGTTGTACCTCCAGAACTGTGTCATCCAGTTACTGGGGGGAAAATGGGTCTCTGTATAGGAATTAGTGGAGGTAACTGGTCGGGTTACCCGGGGTCTGCTACATCTGGTGGCTACAGTGGGATGAGTACTTCCCATCCGAACGGAACCAGCGTTCATTAGCCGAACCAGTCCATGGACTATGCGAAACTAAAGAGGCAAATGCTACAGGAGATATTGGCAGCCCAAGGACGAGCAGCCGGTACCCAACCTAAAGCTAACCTGATTGCCACCCTCATGGAGGATGGTCTACAGAGCGGTGGGGCTGTGGCCCCACAACTGGAGGTCGAGAAGGATGACTTCGATAATGAGATGGCCTGTCTATTTGCCTACTATTTGGGAAGCCCATCCCAGGAGATCATGGCCAGGACCATCTCAGAGGTCCAGACCTACATCCTGGTAAAGGCGGGCCGGGCAGCGGAGATGACCCCTGCCATCTCGAAACCCAAGGTGCCGTACACTGCATTCAAAATTTTCATCGAAGCAGAGGAGGACATTGACAAGTGCCTCTTGCACAAAATTGCTCCCTCTTCTTGGGTCCCCCTGCTCACCGGGAAGGCTGCCAATGTCTTTAGAGCTGTGTCAGCAGATGGGTTGAGGGATTATGACCTGGTAAAGAAGGTCCTACTAGCCAGATATGCGGTGACCCCGAATGCTTATCGCAGGAAGTTTTTGGGGAGACAAGACTTTCATGCCGAGTGGGATTGTCATCTGACCCGGGTAGCCAAAAATTGGATGAACTCCCAGGACACTAAGTCCCCCAAGGCTATCCTCAAGCTGTTCCTTCTGGAACAATTCTACAATGGTCTCTCCACTGAGGTGCACGAATGGGTAAGAGACTATCCCCATAGGATAAACTGCTCCTCCTCCAACCGAGTCAGGCACGGTTGGAGGAGGAGCAGTTTATCAGGGAGTGGGGACTGTCATATTGCATAGCAAAGAAAATAGGGACAGGGACCACTCCTACTACCAAGCAGCTGGTGGTACCCAGGAAATATCGCCGGGAGCTATTGAAAATAGCTCACGATATTCCCCTGGCCGTGCATTTGGGAATGAGTCGTACTAAGCATGGACTCACCCAAAGCTTCTTCTGGCCAGGCATCTCCAAAGACCTGAGGCAGTACTGCGAGTCCTGTGATGTCTGCCAGAAAGTGGGGAAGCGGGGCAACCGGCGCAAGGCTAAGCTCCAGCCTCTGCCCATTATTGAAGACCCCTTCATCAGAGTAGCTGTCAACATTATAGGTCCCTGGCTAAGCCTAGTCCCTCTGGGAAGAAATACATTCTGACCATTGTGGACTACGCTACTTGGTACCCCGAGGCAGTCGCCCTGAGAAATATTCTGGCGGAGACTGTAGCCGAAGATCATCTTGGATCAGAGCACCCAGTTTACTGCTGTGGTAACCCACCAACTGTGGAAGTTATGCGGCATTAAACCGATCCTGAGTTCCCCTTGCCACCCATAGACCAATGGCCTGTGCGGGCACTTTAATGGCACGTTGAAGCAGATGCTTGTTACCTTTGCAGAGACTTACATTCCTGTCACATCTCCTGTTTGTATATCGGGAGGTGCCCCAGGAATCTACTGGTTTCTGTCCATTTGAATTAATATTCAGAAGGAGGGTTAGAGGGCCCCCAGACCTGGTCCGAGAGCACTGTAAAGGAGAGGGGGTGCAGGAAGGGACCCCCATCATCCCATATGTGCTGGAGTTTAGGGATCGACTGGAGGAACTCACCCACTCACCCACCTGGTGCGTGGGAACCTCCAGGTGGCAGAGAGGCGCCAGCACACTTGGTATGATTGGGAGGCCAGGAGCCACAGCTTTCAAGTCGGTCAAAAAGTGCTGATTCTGAAACCTGTCCAACACAACAGGCTACAGGTTGCTTGGCAGGGACCATACCTGGTAGTGGACGGATGTGTGACACTACCTACATTATCGGTCCTTGCTTGGGTGACGGGGTTAGACGCAGGTTGCATGTTAACATGCGTAAGCCCTACCACGACCGGATGGAAGATGTAGCCACCATATGTGCTCCAGCTTCGGAAGATTTTGACAATCTTCCCCGCCTGACCTCATGGAGGACGGAGCCCTAGTTGGACCGGGTCCATAGAGGAGGTCCAACTAGGGGACCAGCTGACAGGGAGGGAATGCCGGCAAGCGCAGGAGACGCTATCAGCCAAGACATTCTCTAACCTTCCCGGGTATACCCCCTGGCCACCCACAGAGTAGAGACCCCGACCAACCACCTCTAAAGACAAACCCCGTACCAAATCCCAGAGGTGGTTCAGGCAAATAAGGCAGGAGATCCAGGAGATGCTCCGACTAGAGCTAATAGAAACGTCCAAGAGTTCGTGTGCTTCCCCGGTAGTGCTGGTTCCGAAGCGAGACGGATCCACCCAGTTCTGTGTAGACTACTGGAAGCTCAACAACAAGACGGTCTCAGATGCCTACCCCATGCCTCGTATAGACGAGCTATTAGATAAGATGGCTTAGTGCCAGTACCTCACCACTATCGATTTGTGCAGATCCCCCTAGCAGCAGATGCTGTTCCCAAGTCAGCCTTCATCACCCCATTTGGCATGTACCAAATTAAGGTCATGCCCTTTGGGATGAAGAATGCCCTGGCCACTTTCTAGCGGATGGTGGACCAGCTGTTGGATGGTCTCCTGGAATATATGTGCGCATCTACAACGACACTTGGGTGGAGCACCTGACATACGTAGAAGCGGTACTGGATAGGATTAACGAGGCAGGGTTGACCTTGAAACCTAGCGAGTGCCAGCTAGGGATGGCAGAATTGCAGTATCTGGAACACCGGGTAGGATGTGGGAAGCAGAAGCCTGAGCCAGCCAAGATAGAGGCAGTAGCGAACTGACCCAGTCCCAGCATGAAGATCCAGGTGATGGCTTTCCTAGGGACCGCTGGCTACTATAGAAAGTTTGTCCACAACTACAGTGCCCTAGCAAAGCCCCTCACTGACTAGACCCTAAGGAACTTGCTCCGACATGTACACTGGATCCCATAGTGTAAGCAAGCATTTCAAACTCTTAAGAGCGCTCTGGTAAAAGCCCCTGTCCTGGCTGCTCCTAATCTGAACAAACATATTCTTATTCACACAGATGCTTCCATGTTTGGATTGGGTGCAGTGCTGAGCCAGGTTTGGAAAGATGGCGAGAGAACACCCTGTAGCTTACCTCAGTGGAAAACTATTACCCAGGGAGGTAAGCTAAGCCGCCATTCAGAAGGAATGCCTGGCGGTGGTGTGGGCCCTAAAGAAGCTGCAGCCCTACATCTATGGCCAACAATTCACACTACTCACAGATCACAACCCATTGGTGTGGCTAAAGCGGGTCGGAGTCTGGCCCTACAACCATATGATTTCACTATCCACTACAGACCCGGTGAGCTAAATAGAAAAAACAATGGGTTATCAAGATAGACAGAACTGGAAGAGTGATCTATGAGTACTTCCCCGGACATCCCCAAGCCGATCTGTTGGGACCAGTCTGTGTATGCCGGCTTGATGTTAAGGGTGAGCTGTGTGGTGAAACCAGCTTGTTCGGGTGCTTTATACTTATACATGGTGTTTTTGTTCCCTTGCCCTTCTTCTATTGGAACCGCTCCCCATACATACGCCATGTTTGTGAAGGGAGATGGTGTGGGCATATATTTTTTTTTTTTTTAATTTTCTTTTTGCGTTTCGAATAAGGATTACAGAATGAAAAGGGGGTTAACGCACATTTTTTATGACAAGTAAGCATTATAGAATGAAGAGGTGGTTGATGCACTGCAGTCATGACAATAATTCAGATCCCCCATAATGTTGTTGTATGTATAGAGATATGGGGATAGGAGTTTATTTACGAGAGGCGCCATGGCCTCATTTTAGGCATTCTCTATCCTGTTGTGCTACTTGTGTTAGCGGTCATGTGTCGTGCCTTGCGATGTCCATGCAGTGGTTGAGGGTATAGTGGTATGCAGAGGTATAGAGTGGTGGGAGAAGGGGATGAGGGCTAAGGAAGGGTTTTGCTTCCATTGTCGCCCCGGTGTGGGCATATTTACTTGCTACATTAATATATATTTTTAAATTTATATTCTATGCTATATGTTTATATTGTATAAATAAATCTAATTATTTTTAACAAGTCCTCTGGAGCCTACGGAATCTTCATAGGGGTAGTGCCATCCCCACAAAATTGGCACAATACCATGCTTAAAAGCATAACAGCTTGATTACGGAACAAGTATTTATGCACAGGCTCCTTTAAATATGAGTGTCCTGAATTCACCATCACTTTTTTTTTATCTCATTCCACGTACCATCTGCACTATATTGTATTTTTTATCTTTTGTCTTTTATTTGTATTTCATGTCAAGCTTTTAACCAAGTTATGTGGTTTAAGTTTACCTCACTTATGCACAAAACGTATCTAGCACTCCACTTAAAGGTATAGGTCTCTAGTTACACCAACTAATAGATTTTAGATTTTTGGTGTGGATATTTCCACACAAGTGTATAGAGCTACTGCTGCTTATTTATTTTAGCACTTTGTTGTACACACACCCCTCCCAAAAGGAGGTGTATTTTAGTTTGCAAAGAGATATGTAATTTATTAGTATGTATGGTGCTTTTGTGCTCGCCAATATGTATGGCTAAAGAATTTGAGGTTTGACCCACATTACCAAGTCCACAGGGACACTTGATTAAATAGATCACCCGATCTGACTGACAATTGAAAAACTCCTTAACAGAAAACAATTTGCCTGTTCTCGGATGGGTGAACCCAGAGCCAGTTGTGGCATTGTTTCAACTGGCACAATGCCCACAATGATGCATGCCCTTGATCGGTGTCAGCCAAGTGGTAGGGGGCTTAGTCGACATAATAGATCTAGAAGGTGAAACCAAAGTTTTAATATTTTTAGATCTCTTATATGCCATAAGAGGTCTTTCACTACAAAGATCTCGATGGATGAATCACTCTGTAGAATATGCCAATTCTTGTGGATAATGTGTTTCACAAGGCCAAATTTGGTTGAGCACGTTGTAATGCATGGAATATGTTTAGGAGTCTTTTTCTTACCCTGGGTCTTCAGTAAAGAAGTCCTCTCTAGACCTTTAACTTTATCCAATGCTTCCTGCAATGAAGTTTCACTATAGCCACGGGATCGAAATTCCTCTATCATCTTACGTGCTTCAGTATCAAAATTCTCTTTTTGAGACACCATCCATCGAACACGTAATAATTGACTAAAAGCAAGACTCTGTATCATATTGGAAGGATACATAGAATTTGCCTGTAAAAATTTTACCTTATCAGTTGGTTTTCTAAAAAAATCAAAGTATAAGCCATCCTGAGTATTACTCACCGAAAAGTCCAAAAAATGTTCACTGCTTGTGTCATATTCCAAGGTGAATTTGATACTGGGCACATATTGATCCAAATCCGCTTTAAACAGTAAAAGGTTCCCCTCTGAACCATTCCAAAGAAAGAATACATTGTCAATATAACAAAGCCACACTGAGACACACAATAATTTTTCCAAATATAGTAGGTAAGGTTTAATTGTTTTCTTTTCCTTCCATGTATACAAATTTCTACATATTTTTTGTTTATTTATGCAAACTTTTTTTGCAATGGATATGTATATTATTTGTCCATGTATGTAAACTTCCTGGACATTGCTTTCCTTGGTAACAATAATCATGTGGTTATGGTTGGGAGGATCCCAATCATTGTGGGTGGCCACCCATCACTTTCAGGTGTTTGCTTTTTTTTTAATGGTACATAAGGGTGTGTTCTACCCTTTTGTAACACGCTCCCTTGATTAAGGCATTTTTTTCTGCCGAAATGTTGGATTATTTTGTACTATTATCAAGTGATTTATGCTTTGATTGTCTGATATGTATTTTGAGATACCTCCTTTTGTGGACCTATT